GCGCAACCGATTTCGTGAATCGACTGCCAGCCGGGCCCGTTCACCCGGCGTTTACGCGCCCGATTTCGGCCTATCGCCGCCATTACGTTGCTACATCGGCCACTAACAGCCACAACCGGTTAGATATTAGACTATCGACGACGTTCGCTAAGAAATGGACAAAAATTCTAATCTCGATCATGGTCTGATAAATAGGTTATTTATTACGTTGTCTACTGGGTCAGTGTTTCCTTCTAAATATTAACAACTCTGCCAGACCAAGAATCCAGAGATAGTTTACTGTCTGTGTATATAAATCCGTTCCAAAATAGTCGACTCTGTTATCGTTCAACTTTTTATTCGTGGAATCGAGGAGTTAGTTCCGCAAACTGCCGCCCACTTTCGTAGCGCTTTCCCCGACTATCCACCATCGAAGCGAAAAGTGTCAATTGCCGCCGCGAGAAAAAATTAGACAACTTCTTCTCTGCATTCTTGTACGATCTAATAATAACTCGATGAGAAGCAAACGTATATAGCTGTTTCTCCGAAAAGGTGATTCAATTTTAATTTCATAACCTCAACCGTGTTACGCTAATCTCGAGAACTAGCAGGAAAATACGGGAATAAAAGAATGTTGAATAAAATAGATAGGGTTGCGAGAACGGGAGTCGAGGGTACGCAGAATTGCTGGAATTCGCGGTAACGAGCGTCGTTCCGAGGAAACTACGTCGTCCGCGCCGATAGCCCGGAAACGAGTTGTCGGGGAGTGGAGCAGCGAGAACGTAGTAGGCGAAAACAGCGATGAAAACAGGCTCCCGGGTCTCGAGGTTCGCGACGAGTCGAAGCGGGGATGTTCGGTCGATGCGGCTAGACACCCACCCTTCCCGGCTCACGCGGAGGGCGAGTCAAGGTCAAGCAAGGTCGAACCTCTCCGGGGACTCGATTCGCCGCTAACGAGCACCGCGGCCGACTAGTCGCAATTAAGATGGCCGAAGATCGTGAAAAGCGATCCCCGATGGCTGGCCAGCGAAACGATCGTTCGCCCCGAGCTCGCGAGGAAGCAATAAACCTTTCGAGGCCCCATCGATGTCGTATTTTACCCCGTTCGCTATTATCATCGCTGCGATCGCCGAGGCAAAACTTATCGATTAATTAGATATCGGGTCGAAATTGGACGTGGATCCGAGTCGCGATACAAACTTGGAAAATTGCATTCGGAAATGGGAGCCAGCCTGTTATTACTACCTTCCGTTTAACGTATTATCGGATACAGGGACTGCGCCGTGATTATTCCCCCCCGCGTCCTAATTGCACCCTGGTAACAAGTTTATTAACAAAAGCAATCCGTGAATGGAAATAATCGTACGGGAAAGAGGTAGCAAGTCGTGCGATCCCGTTTGTCAACAAACGTGATTCTGAGTTTGAAAATATATATTGTTCTCGTGGAATAAAATTTACCTCTGCGAATGGTTTCGAAATCCATCCGCGACGGTAGCGGAATAGGGAGCGTTTTAGAAATTTTTTATTCCCGGGAACCCCTTTCGCGTGGGAAAGGTTTAACTCGTACGCGACAGGCTCGCATAAATGTTTGAGGAACGTACTTTCGCGACGTACCGCGGCCCGGAGTCGTCGTCCTCGTCGATCGTTTTTAAAAAGGAAGCAGCTCGCCACAAAGTAGTAGGTTCGCGGACTAAATTGACGGCGATCCGAGTCGAATCAATATTATTACGGAACCGGGATGGCCGCTACGCGAACGACGACGAAGCGTAGAGAAAACGAGCGCACTTCGGGGAGTCGCCGGTAACAAGCCGTTTATTTGCAACTTCGATTCGTCGGGCCGACAAAATCGTGGAAAATATTCAGGAATAATTCAGCCCGGTCGCGGCGGATCGAGCCGGGAACGTTGATCCGAAATGCACCCTCCGAGCCGTACGCCTCGTTAAGGGTGTGTGCTTTAGGGTTAACGGAGGTCAACGGGGATCCTTAAATTCGAGGCCGTCGCGATACCATCTCCTTTGGCTTCCGTTCGAAACCAGCCAGCGAAAGCGTCGCTTCCGCTCGAGAGATGCGTGCCTGAGTCGCGTAAACCTTTTTCCACCAACTTCAGAGACCGTTATATCTCCCGAGTCCAGACTCGTGGAAACAGTAATTTTTCCTATAAAATATTAAAACTTTCGAATAACTTCTATATTTAATAAAACTGATCTCCAGTTGAGAAATAAAATTCGCAATAATCGTTGGAATCCTGGCGAGTACATCAGCGTGCTGAACCCAGACGCGAATCGTCCGTTAAATATTTCTATCCTTCTCCGCCAGGGGGATCCCCCTCGAAGTCCAGCGAAGCGTTAAAGACGAGCAAAAAAAACGACACGAGTTGGGGTGCCAGCGACGATTTGTATAAAAGACATTGTTTTTTTTTCCTCTTCTTCGGGTCCTCGACTATGGTCGTCCACGAAAGATAAAGTCGACTTCGAGCTTCGACGATATCGCGCTGTTTATAAATAGCCCGCCGGTGTCGAATTTCGTCGCTGCTGTCCGTCTTGAGAATCGTACCGAGAAAAAAAGTTCTCCGACCGTATTTTTCCATAAGAATCGCCGGAGTAAAAATGGCGTGGACAATCCCAGCTGCAACGGGGTATCGCGTAGAGCCGGATATTCGGGCTTACGTCAGGCGAGGCAAAACGCGGCCCACTCCGCCGTTCCAGAAAATTACGAGCACCGGACTCGTTCGCCCGGCGTCCGTGACTTCTCTCATTATTCTTCCCTCCCGACTTTTTCGCGTCTCCTGTTTTTCCCTTTGTTCGGCCTTTTCCCTTCCTTCCTCGTCCTCTTCTCTCGCGACTACGGCCGTCCACAGTCCCCGTTCCCCTCGACCAAAGCCAGGGGAGGGAAGAAACCGATCGTTCGCCGCTAAACACCACCGCGAGAGCTCGATCTACGCGATCATAATTACCGATTCAATTCACAGATCCCGAGATGTTTATCGGTGCTCCTCTTTGCCCTCGCGGCTGATGATCGACTTCCTTGAGAAACGCGACGCCTCGACTGGGTCGAGTTTTGACCTCCGCTTCCGCTCCAAGTCTCCTCCATTGCTCGCGTTCACCGGGTCTCTTGGACCGCTCAAATCGAGCTACGTACATTTTCAGATAGCGCAAGGTTCTTTTTAAGGAAAATCCCCGAGATGAATGTGGTGCAACCGAGGCTCAAACGTACCATCTCGTCCACTTATTTTTAATACCACCGAATTACGGTTACGCGTACACTCCGTGGTAGGAGCCCCTAGCGGCTGTAAGTTCTTTCTTTCGGCAGCCTTGCCATTACCCATGGTATTTCCTCGCCCAGAGGCGTTATCTAAGAGTCGCGATCAACCTTGGCTCAGGTTATTAACGCGTCATCGAATAACTGTGCCTCGCTCGCTCTCGCTGCTTCCTATTCTGTTTCACTGTATCACGTTTGTGGTCTCTAACGTAAACAGCAGTCAGCGAACCGGGATAACCAGAGCGATAAGTCTCGGTTTCCCTCCCTCGCTGATTGCAACTTGCAACGACCCACCTTCGTTCCTCGAAGCCTAAACGATACATAAATATTCTGGTAATTAATGTTATTTTAATTCGACCACGCTGGAATGGGAATCGATATTTATCCACGATCAACAGTCACCGGTTTCGTCATCGACTTTCTCACGGGTGAGGCAAACTCGTCCGCAGATATCGCGGTCCTCATCCGATTGCGTAACGAACCGTCTGATCGTTTAACCGTGTGGGCGCCGAAAAGTAAACGCGGTAAAAAGTGGTCGACACAGTTCTCCCTCCCGGATCGTAGCACCTGGGTGTCCGCGGGAGAGCTTTGGCTTTCAGGAGCCGCTAGAACGAGGCTCGTTCAGTCTGGGGCTACTTCCACCGACGAAGCCACTTCCTTCTTGCTACCGGTGAAAGATCCTTTATTCTCCCGACCGCAAACGTATCGTAAAACCCAGCAGGTCCTCCTCGTTAATACGTAAGAGTTATTACGAAACGGTGTAAACACGCTTGTAGTCCGGTTTATTATTTTCACTGCGTTCCGAACGGAAATCCCAACCATATTACCCTCACGAGCAAATCAGAAACGAAAATTGCACGAAAATATTAAAAATTAATATCTTTGAGGGGGGAATGAAGTTCTTCATCCAGAGTAGGAGAAATCGTTTTTTGGATCATGATTACTCGACAGCAAAAGTCTCGAGACGCGAGATGGATGCTCGTAGGACTAGGAAGGAAGAAAGCGCGACCAATTGGGCAGCATCCGAGAGTCACAGTCGATTTTCCACGGCGAGGCGATTTTTCCCCACCGCGGTCGCGAGAAATTGCTTAATGAAGCCGCGGAGGTTGGCGCTGCCTGAAAGGAAGGTAGAAACGTTGCAGTGGGTCAAGGAGAGACACACCGGCTTTCACTTCCTCTCCGCAGCGCCGCGCTATGCCCCTCGAGAACACCTCCCATGCCTTCATTTTTTTTTCTTTTTTCTTTTTTTCTTTTTTTCTCTCTCTCTCTGCGCCCGTGCTTCCTCAGCCTTCTCGGTGCTACCGTTAGGAAGCGATACGGCCGCTGGAATCCGTCGCGTTTCCACCAACGCCGGTCGAACCGATTCGATTTCTTCCCCCATCGAGAACCTAACCTCTCCAATACGTCTCTGCCGCGAACATACGCGAATTAGGCTACACCGACCACGTTTATAATCGCATCGTGGACGAACTTGACGCTAGATCTACGCAACTAGTCGATTTCACCGCTTTTGGACTAATGTTAAAAAATCGTATTTGAACTCGACGATGTTCGCAAATCTATCGTCAAGATAGAGATCGTTCCCGAGAATTTAATTTTAATTTTATTAGGATTTTATTTTATTTTAGTAAAAAATATTTCCTTAATTTTAATCCGATAGCGGCTGGTGATTTTATTATACCGTGTTATCGTAACTGACGTAATTCCAGTTCGAATGAAATCACGAGTTTAACGTTTTTCCGTCCATGTTTGGGCCGTTTTAGTGGACACCAGGGAGGTCCAACCGCACGATGCGAACGAAAAGGAGCAACTCGGCCTCGCGAGCGTTAAGGCAGAGCCAGGATCGACCGGGACGACGACGACCACCACCGGGACTCGTCTGTTGCACGGTATCCTCTCCCAGCATCCCCAGCAGCACGGTTTAGGGGTGCAGAACGGATATGGCCGCCACTTGGCCGGCCACGCTCAGATGGGCCAACCGCCCTACACCACTGCCACCATCGCCACCACGAGTACGCCAGGTTGGTCCGAATTTTTATACTTCCAATCGAGATCCTCCCACGACCCCAAAAATCAAAGACACGACTCCAACATAGCGAGCAACGATGGGGACTGGTATCGTCGTAAAAATAAAATCCAAAATCGGCAGCGTAGGAAAACAAAAATAATTTCCCGATAATTGTAAATTATCTCGCAAGGTATTCGCGATCCTTTTAAGCAACGTATTTAGAAAGCTATCGACTTATTCATTATTCTAAAATATTAGACCACTTTGTCTGAAATATATTTTTGGAAGAATACCGCAGACCTGTAAATATGCACGATCTAATTTTTAAAATCAACACGTCTCTAAGTCTGGTTCAGTAAAAAGTTATTTAACCCTCTGCACTCCTACGTCGAATGTGACTCGACATCGGTTTTTATCTCAGGAACTCCTTTGTCGAGTCCCACTCAAACCAAAGAGATATACACTTGAAAATTACAAAATACAATGATTTTTAATCAACGTAAATTTCAAATAAAACACTTAAAAAGCATTGGGAGCAGCTGGTAACAAGATTTAAATATAATTCGGAGTGCAAAGGGTTCAAACGACCAGCTAGCGTCCTTTGTATCGGTCCCATCGTTGGCCGCCATGGAGGAGCCAAGATGGCCGGCGGAACGTCCCCGAGGTGTTCAAAATGGCCGCAGCCGTTCGCTTCCGTCTTCCGGCGGTCAAAAATCGTCCTCGTAGCTAAGGGGATTTCTAAAACAAACGACGCCGCGTCACAGCTCGACACGGTTGCAATAGAAACGCGGAGAAAGCAATGGAAAGGATTGCGCACAGCCGTGAAAAAAGTGAAACGATACTATATTGCCGTGTTTTCTCTGATTTGACTGGAGAGAGATGGTCGGTGTGCATCGCGAGCAATTTTTCGCGGGTTACCGATCGATTTTTCTGCACGGCGTTAGGTTCGAGCCAATAATAATATTTACAGAGCAATATCGACGGCTGGTCGGTAAACAGCCGGACAGGAAATCGCTTCCGGTGGACGCGCGCTGGCAAACGTTTGACTTTCCTCTCGGCAGGTTTTCATGGGCACACGCTGGGCAAAGAGCGTTCTCCTATTGGTCGTTTCTCGGTCGCTCGTTCGACCAGCAATTCCCCGCCGCTGACATTAATCGCCAGAGACGACAAGGTGGCAATAAAAAGGCGAAAATTCCTGTTTAGCCGTTGCGCGAGACCGACAATATCGATTTCTCGGCTTCCCGTCGACTTCGATGAAAGATTTCACTTCGGGGGCACGCTCTTGTTTCTATTTTTTTTTCCATCCCCCCCACCCCCCCTTCGTTTTCAGCATCCCCGAAAGTTTCGCAATCTCGTCGAACCGTCTGGCTTCCATTTTTAGAAACCGTTCGACTTCCTTCCGCCACCAGACGACGCTGAAAGATTGATGGTTTTCAACGCGACCAAAATACGGATATAAAATCGCCCCGCATACTAGATGACTGGTTGCACCGTCGGACGCTGTTTACTTTTTAAAAATAGTCCTCGGTTCGGCTGGATTCGCGAGTTTATTGCCGTCGTACTAAAATATGCGACTTAGTTGCCTTCGTCGATTTATCGATCGTTGGAAGCTAACCTCTTAACGCCGCGCGACGACCGACCGTCCGTCGCGTCTTTGCTTTCATAATTCGTTGTAATAATATTCTTCGTATCCGTGTGTCTTTTCATTTTCGAACAAATCCTGCTCCGTATACCTGTGTTCAAAGACACACGATTTAAGGAAACGAAAAATCGAAAGATTCTAGGTGAAAATGACCGCTTGGGAATCGTCGGTGCAACGAAAGCGAAAAGGTGGCGTACGAGTCGGCGGGTTCTCTCAGCACGTGATACCCGAACCTTTGCAAAACGTGGTTGCGTAAGCACGTGGACGGGTGGTAGCCGCTCGATCCGGTTCAACGGAGCAGTTCCACGTCGAAACGAACGTCGCCGGGGAGGTCGATTACCGAAATAATCGGCCGTTGCATAAAGCGCCGCGCGTCGAGCGCGGGATTCGCGAACGGTGGTGGTAGCCCTGCACGATCGTGCCCGCCACGGTTTTGCATAACGCGAACGCGACACGACGCGCTCGGGAACTCCTCGGCGGTGGCGGCGCGCCGGAGACAGAGAGGAAGACGGACAGCGACGCCTCGCGTCGTACAGGACCTTTTAGGACTGGTTTCAGACGTTCGAGCCTCTCTCGCTCTCTCGTTCGCAATCTCCGGGATGAGAGCCGGAGGGAGGGAGAGGAGAGACCGTGGGAAGCACCGGCGATATGCATACCCAATGACCGGATGACCTTCGCCCGTTGCATAAAGATGCCTTTAATTGACGGCGCGCGCGAAAACACGTTCGGCGGTCCGGTGCTCCATAAAGCCAAGCACCCTCGACGTACGAGACGCCTGGCTCGCCGGAGCTCGGACCACCTCGGAGCGTCTAATTCGCTCGCGGAGCACAAAGACCCGAAGAACCCGAGTGGAATGGGTCGCCGGCCGTCCTATCTCCTCGACGATGAAATTCGACCGTCTGCGCGTTTCGAGCTGTGCCCCCGGACTCGATATATGCATGCTCGATGTAACCCGAATCCTATTTCGACGCGTCCTTTCTGCTCGGAGACTGTCATCATTCGCCACGGTCGCGAAACAATAATATCTACGCCCAGTTAGTGGGAATAACCCTTCCACGCAGCCAGAACGGACATACTTAACCTTAAAATGGAAGACCAGTGTTTCTCAACAGGGGGCGCAGCTTTTATCGTTTAGCAATTAGAAAATTCCTTTTGTATCGACAGACCCTATTTACAGGCTTGGATCTGTCACTCTTTTCTGTCGAAAATTTTTAACGTACAAATGTCCAGCCCCTCGTTTACCATTATGAATAAAGACGCGTTAAAGTTCTCTCTACATGTCGCGGTCCGGAAGCTCGAATGCGACTGCGCTTTATCGCGAGCCAGAGTGCACAGTTCGCGGAAGCGACGGTCTCTTTTCTGCGGTTTGGTAATTCCGTGCACGGTGCAAAGACAAGCGAGGGAAGCGAGCGAAGCGTTGCGAAATCGTTCCACCCGCCAGCCCCCGGGTTTCCACTTGACGTTGATCGCGGCGATGGACGCAATTACCAAAGGAAGTGTGTTTCTCTTTTGTTGCATGGGAACAGGAAGCGGATCACTGCCAGCGAGTCCCGCGGACAGCGGAGTCAGCGACGTCGAGTCCAGCACGTCCTCGGGCGGTAACGAGGACGCGAATCTCTTGCTGAAGGCCAGGCTCAACCCCAACACGTCCCTTCAACCGAGCCTGGCGTCCCATCATTCTCATTTGTCGTCAGGTAAGCGCACATTTAACAACGACTGTTAGACGATGCATGTTAGAGCCTATAAAATCGTGAGGCGCGAACGGATTCATAACCTCGAACAGCGGATTACGCGCGGCGGTGGCGGGCCAATCGGGAAACGAACAAGTTACCGACCAAGCCGCCAGGCGCCCACAGGATCCTAACCTCCCATAAGATATTGTCTAAAATCGGTTCCACGTTTCCTTCGATTAATTCAAAGTTTATTAAACAATAGAAACGAGATATAAAGGATATTTTTTTTAATCTGTACAATTATCTTGTTTAAACGACCGAACAATAATTCTACAACCTGTCGTGTGACGCAGGTGTTCCGAATGACCGATACGACTATTGTTACAGCACGATGCGAGGACTCGTACAATAAATCGTTGCGTCAATGGCCCCCGTTAGATCACGCGCGAAGAATTATCGTTAAATAATAACGCTCGTGGAAATATTGGTCGCGTATTTTTTTTTGGAATTTCACGTGCCGTTACGTGTACATATATTATTACGAAACGATGCACCGCGTTTACGAAATATTTCACATCCAGAAAATTTCGAGGTTAGTTCGCGAACTGTTGGAAAGAAAAGTAGTTTAAACGAACCCTAACGACGAGCAAACACGCCAGGCGTCACGCCGCGATAATTCGCGGTAACGATTGTCCCAAATTCGAAATGATTTTGACGTAACATCGACGATCGACTGATCAGATTGGTCGCGGTTCACGGGCGAAATTTAATTAAACTGACAGGTTTATAAATAAAACGTCGAAATCGAACGTGTACCGACTGATTTGATCGAGCGATCGTGAATATTTAATTTTGACGAGAGTTTCGCTCCGTCTCCGGTTCGACGTACGAAACAGGGGGAATCGAGAGACCACGGGACAGCGATTTTCCGTTTTGTTGTCGCTCCACCCCCGTTGCGAAATCGACGTTATGACGTAAGCAAAAGCGGTCGTGCAAACGACACCCGTCTTTTCTCATCGAACGTCTTTATCGAATGTCCGACAGCAGCACTCGGCAGGTCAGCCTGTCACAGTCCTGGCGTTTATCCGTCGACGGCGGGCTTCCTGCCGCCCTCCTATCACCCTCACCAACATCATCCCTCCCAGTACCATCCGCACAGAGGGAGCTCGCCCCATCACCAACACGGGAACCACGCGATGGGACCGACAATGGGACCGCCCCATCACCATCACCACCATCAAACGCAGAGTCTACAGCACCTACATTATCGTCAACCTCCAACACGTAAGTCGATCTTTCTGCATAAAAAACATGGACCAACCGATTTGCTTGTAAACGTTAGATCTTCGAGGCGGTGATCACTGCACTACTGTATCGCTGTCGATCATTATACATATAGGTTGGGAAAATTTGTGTAGCCAGAAAAACGGTGCTCGAGATATTATTTCGTGGCGCGAAAGTTGCAGATAAATTAGGCGTCTCGTTCCTGGAACGACGAGGGCTAAAAATAATACGGAACGGCTCGCGACGATAAAACGTTTCCGGTGCCCTTTGCGCGTTGCAAAACACATTCCCGATGCAGCGGTGCAACGATAGGCACCGATCGACGTTCCCGTCGCACGACGATATCTCTCGATCCTGAATTACAAATTCCGCGGCATTAATATTCGACGGTGTTGCGATATTGTTTGCGAGCGGCGACGGGATTTGAAATTAAAATCGCAATCGAAAGTCTGAGAAAGATCGCGTAGTATCAAGATCGACGACGGCTGGGAAGATTTCGGTGCGCAAACACGTCGGTGTCGCGTTGATTCGAGGCGTTTGGGTTGGAAATAATCGGGATCGCGAACGCGTTACGTGCGCTCGGTGATTTTAGAGACGCCAGGCCTCCGCGGATCGAATCCAACCGATAAATCGGTAATTTCAGTAGCTCTCGTGGCAGTGTCTGGGAGATTCGATAGTCGGGTGGCGCAACGACGACAAGCTCGGATTTATTTCGGCTTGTCCCGGGTATCGATTGATCCGGCTCCGGATAAAAAAACGTATCGCCAGCCTCTTAGGTAATTACGCTCGGTAAATAATTTCACTCGAACGCCGCTCGTACGGCGAAAGGAAACGGCGGATTCGAACGAATCGATCGATCGATCGCCCGGTACCGGGTGGTCTGCGCGCAACCTCGCTGAACCGTTTCCTTCGAAACCGTCGGAAACAATGAAGTAATTGTTCGACCATGTCTCTCGGACCTCGAAGTGACGCGAGTTTTTTTATAAGTGTTCGATCGATCGGAACCCATCGTGCGTTGGACGCCAATGGTATTAACACGGACGTGGTATACGAGTAAGACCTTACCGTACAATGTATTTTTTCGGGCCATTTTTCTGTGCATTGTTTGCATTTTGAAACATGAAAATCCTTCGATCACTTTTTTTTTTTAGTTTGGGTAAGCAATTTTTTTCTCGAAAGTGGGTAGGAATTCGGGGGTATGTCTATCAACAAAATATGATTGTAAATGACCCCTGTAACTAACTATAATTTTTTTAGAACGATCTGAAATTTTTCAATTTTGTCGAATAATTTTATATCTTCCTGAATTTTTTTCTCGATAATGCGTAGGATTTCGGCGATAGGTCTATTCACCAAAAATGATTGCAATTGACCCCTGCAGCTAACTATAATTTTTTTAGAACGATTTGAAATTTTTTTTTTTTTGCCGAAAAAAGGCACCTCGTTGGAAGAGAAAAAATTATCTTCGATTTTTCTCGTCGATATGACAATCTGATCGGGCTCTGAAATTCCATAAAATTTAAGGTCTACTTGTATACCTTGCCTGTGGTATTAAATTCCTATCGGTATCGAAGAGAATTTCGCAATCCCAGGATGAGAACACCGAGGCAAAAATAACAGCGAGTCGGGCACGGATTAAGGGTATTCATCGGGATTTGTAATGCGGTCGAACGCGGTCATCGCGCAAAGCGGCATTAAAGCGTTTACAAGTTGTTTTCCTTTCCTCGAAACTATCGAACGCGTCGACGGGTGTTTCGACCCGTGGCGTTTCTTTAAGCCGAGCACTTTGTCGTTTACATAATCCGCGCGCGTACGTCCCCGCATCGATCACCGACGTCGATCGATATCGAACAATAGCGGAAGACTGTCTCGCGTCTCGAATTAAAGCCGGGGAATTCTGTTCCGTTCCGTTCTCGCTTTCTAACATCTTTCTTCGATTAAAACATTTACTAGTTCACGCAAGGCTTTTAAATCCGCCCCTGTGTAATAATTTAGACGTTCGTTGTATTGGAAATCCCCAAAACCACAGAAAAGGGTTAACCAACAGCGCAATAGTATCGATGCAGCGTTGGCTCAGGGAGTAGGACGAGTGGCTTCTAATCCGAAGAATCACGGGTTCGAACCCCGGCGTTCGTGCCCCAATTTTTCCTGGATATAATATGTCGAAAAATTATTTAATTCCTCCTGGTCATCGTATTCTTCAAATTTCACATTGAATTACATTAATCACGGGTACCAATTTGAGAGAAAGAAAAATACCCCTAGAAAAATAGCACCTGATATTTTCTTCGATTCTCGATGGACGCAGAAAGAAAGTTCGAAGCTATCGGGGCGTTGTAGGTGGGCGCGCACACACCGAGGATTTTTAATTGCATTCGCGCGAGAACGGTCCAATTAAAACGACGCTCGACACCGTCCGCGTCGGGGCGCCTAGGAATATCGGTCAAGCCAAGCTTTCGTGCTCAATTTCCACGTAACTGTCAGCGCACAGAAGCGGGAAAAACGGTCTCTTCGTCTAGTTCGGTCGAAAAGGAGAAGAGAGAAAGAGGGTGGGTGGGTGGGAGGTTGGTGGACGGGGATAGAAGTTCAGCGCGCGCGACTTCCTCGTGGCAGGCAGATGCAAAGTGAAAGGGACTCCTCGGGGGAGGTACGGGTGCCACAGAACGCCCGTCCTCCCCCCTCTGGGGGGGAAAAAGGCGCGAAAGAGGAGGCGCGCGTTCGCGCGTTGTTTCGGTTGTGTACCTGTGCGCATCGAGCGTGTCGTCATCCTCTCCTCGTCGGCAGAAGTCGCAACGACGCCGACACCAGCCGAGGCATATTCGTTCTCTTGACCCACTTACTTTTCCCTGATTCAACGACCCAGATTTGCTTCCTGCCATCGCGCGCGTCGATAGGATCGACTCCGATTCACCGATCTTCTTCCTCCCACCTCACCCCCCCTCCCACCGTCATTTTTCATCGCGGTTTTATCGCGCGTCCCATTTAACGCGTCTCCGCGAAACAGATCCCCCGCGTCTTTTCGTGTCCTCGTCCCTTTTGTCTTTACACCAATAACGCCTTTGTTGCGCAACGGATCGCTGGAAAAAAAGTAAACGATGATAATCTTGTATGCAAACGAGACGAGCGGTTCTGTTTGTCGAGTTTTATGAGATTTCGAACGCGTTCGCCGGGTGGCTCGAAACTCGCGCTTTTCAGGTAAAATTGCAATCACAAGTCGCGGCGGTCACCGGTGACCAATATCAAAAATACATAATTAAAGACAATTATCGATACCGATAAATTTTTTATGATAAATAATTTTATTAATACATGAGGAATATATATAAAAGAAAACTGCATCGTCAGAACATTTTCACTAAATGCATCGCTAATTTCAAACGAGCCTAAATAATCAGAGTAGCTGGTTAGCAACTGGAGCGCGACAGTTTGAAAAAACTGATAATCGCAAAAACGGTCTATAGCGCCTCGGAGGTCACCGGTGACCCCCCACCACGAAAAATGCATTAAACATGATTGTACGATTCACCTTATCTGCTGTAAATAATATTTCAGACCGCGTAAAATGCGCGAGGCATTCAACGTGTTAATAAAATTTGATCGAATATCTTGGCGACTCGTTTATTAATCGTTCGAGAAGCCGTGAGAAACGGGAGTAGCCAGATCCGCGAGATATCTCGAGGGAATAGGTAGTGATCGTCGGTGGATCGCGACAGTTTCGAAGCGTGTTCCGAATGCCTGGTTCGGGTTAACGAGCACGAGGGGAATCGATCGACGATGGTCAGCCTCGAATCGGTTAGAGGGTAGCCGTCGCGATCGCGCAATAAACGCGGCTGTTTTTCGTCGTTTCGATCGCGTTCGATGGAACCAGACAGCTGATTTCGCCGGGACACACCTGGCTCCCGGTCGTGATTTCGAACAGCCGTGCTCGAATTGGATCGCCGCCAAGGTTGCAGCCGCTCGACCGAGGATCGTCCGCTGAAAAGAGGCACGAAGTGAAAAGCGAGACGGGTGAAATTCGCTCCGGTCGACCGTGGCCGGTTATCAATTAGAGTAAACGTACCGGTAATTGACAATGACCCACTGATCGACGCTTCCCTCGCTTTTACTTGGATTATTAGGTCGTCCCATAAGTTCACGATACTTTTACTGGAATTTCAAGTGACGTAAATTTTCGAGGAAACTTGAAATCCTCCATCTAGTTTACAAGCCATTATGGTTGATTGAATTTTCATTAAATCAATTCAATATTTGTACTTGTTAGTTTTTGTTTTAAAGCGACGGTCACCGGTGACCGACGCGGGAGTCGTAACGCGTTCGTAAATCGTTTGCTCGTTTGATGCGCGCGACTCGCCGGAAACGGAATCGGTCGTCGGATTTTTTATTACGATCGTGGTTCACGCATCGATCACTGGCTGCATCGACGGTTCCGCCTCCGGTTTGCCGGATACGAGACATCGTCCGGACTTTCCCTGATTGAAAGTGTTCTCGAACCGTGGCAACGGCGTTTAACCTCGTTCTAGGCGAATCTTTTCTTTGGGCGAAAAGCCTAGCGAAAGAAAGTTGGAAACCTCGCGAAACGTTGCATCGAACGTGTAGGGGGGGGGAACGTAGAAAGGAAAACGCGATACGCGAACGCGTTCGAGAAATTCAACTTGGGGCATATTATAATCAAGGATGGCACGTTTTAATGATTTACAGGCGACGAAACGTCGACCAGTATTTACCAGTTACATAAATTAAATACCATCCGCGGCTTCTCGTTAATGAAATTTATAAATACGTTATGTAAGGAACATTTGATTTGCATAAAAGTAACGAAACGTCATTCGTTGCCTGGCATTAAAATGTATCTAACGCCAAGATCGAATAAAATATTCTTTACTTATTCAGCCATTCGAATACGGTATGCTAATACATTCGACGTCCATTGACGTTGCAACACAATTATTTATCGTTTTTCGATCGGACGGAAATAACGAGAATTTCACAAGAAAATTAAG